GAGTAGCATTGCCTTCACGGATAGCTATTTGAAACCCCTGAACAGCCCCATCACACAAAACATGTATCCAAGCTTAGGTCAGGCTGCATAAAGGTCTCAGTAACACATCTGAAGTGTGATATTACAAGTGTAAATATTACTGCATAAACTGTAATATTGAAGATTTTTTACCTCGCACTTCATGCCTCTGACAAAATAACCAAAAAGCACTATACTGTATTTCCTTTCAATCCTAAATTCTGTAATGGTTTAGGTTTTTCTGGATGGTGAATTGTGCGAGAGGAGAGGGGGCAGTGGGTTTGCACCTACCCCCTTGGTGACCCCGAGCAGTCACTCATCCATGTGTGGGGTCAGTCTACAGGGTCATTACACATATGGAGCAGACACATGCCTGCACCTACGACCACTCGCTCATTTGTCTGCTTCGAAACCATTACAGGAGAAGTTTAGATATTTGACTGACTAATTTATTTTGTACACAGGTATATTCTGAGATTATTAGAGTAACTGTAACATTTAAAGGGACAGTTCTGAATTTTGGACATAGGACCTCATTTCTTAGTGAGTGTTGGAGACGTGTGGAGACACTTTTTAAAATATTCCATCCAGTCCTTGTATTTACAGAGGTCGCTGGTGCTAGACTAGTGCATGTCAATGGCCATAGTTATCATGCCACTAAAAACAGTCTTACCCACTCCACAAAATGCCCGAACCTGAATCAAATCTATTATTACACCAGATTGTCGATGTGAATGTCTGTGTCAACAGAATAATGTTTGAAATAAATCTAACCTTGCATCGCATGAATCGTAGCTTGTTGAGGGACTATTTTCTCATATATTAGTCCGCCGCTGCATGAAGACACTGTTATAGTCTAAATTAGGACTAAACCAGAACAGAACCAGGACTAAACCAGGACTAAACCTGAACTAAACAGGACTAAACCAGAGCTAAACCAGGACAGAACCAGGACTAAACTAGAACTAAACTAAAACTAAACCAGTACAGAACAGGGACTAAACCAAGACTAAACTAGAACTAAACCAGGACTAAACTAGACCTAAACTAGAACTAAACCAAGACAGAACTGGGACTAAACCAGGACTAAACCAGGATAAAACCAGAACTAAACCAGGACTCAACTAGAACTAAACTAAAACTAAACCAGGACAGAACAGGGACAAAATCAGGACTAAACCATAACTAAACCAGGACTAAACTAGAACTAAACCAAGACAGAACCGGGATTAAACCAGGACTAAACCAGAACTAAACCAGGATAAAACCAGAAATAAACCAGGACTAAACCCAAACTAAACCAGGACTAAAGCAAGACTAAACCAGGACTAAACCCAAAATAAACTAGGACTAAAGCAAGACTAAACCCAAACTAAACCAGGACTAAAGCAAGACTAAACCAGGACTAAACCAGGACTAAACCAAAACTAAACCAGGACTAAAGCAAGACTAAACCAGAACTAAACCCAGACTTGTTAATATTATTATAAGGGTTTAAGATGGTACAATAAAATGGGGAGACAGATAACAAATGTACAACAACTATTACTATGCAGACCCGTGCCAAGACATTAGGTTTTTCTCACGATGCTGAAGACGTTCTGACCTCTATGAAAAACTGTCCTTATTAATAAATTAAACTAACATTTTAATGAATATTCATGTATGTGTTTTAAATGTTTCTCCCATAATAACTGAATAGCCTTTAAAAAGAGGGATGTGGACAGAGCAGAAATGAAGAAAGGCAAAGGAGAGGTGCTCATTAAAAAGTTGCATAGCTTCACTGCAAGAGAGAGAGAGAGGGGAGAGTACTGAGGAGAGAAAGAGAGAGAGAGAGAGAGAAAAAGCGAGAGAGAAAGAGAGAGAAAGAAAGGGAGAGGAGGAGAGCAGACAGGTAGCCCACTAGAGACACCGCTAACAAAAGGCATGGCTAAAATAGCAGAGTGGATGGAGTGTGCAACGTTTGCATGGGAGACTGGTGACAGAGGAGGGAGAGAGAGAAACAGAGGGAGGGAGGAAAAGAAAGAGAGAGGGGGAGGCTGGGTGAATGGACAGCTCAAGACGGCAGAAGACACCAGGACTCCCTCATGGCATCTCATCTCTCTACCTCCTCTACACCTCCTCTTCTCCCCATTTCCCTCCCTTTTTTCTCCCAATAAATCATTCTGACTTCTCCTTAACCAACTCATTCCCAAAAGGCAACAAGAAAACTGTACCAATCCCTTCCCAGCTGCAGTGTCTCTTCTCTCTCTGCTCTGTGCTGCTCCTGTCTTGTGGGCCTCTGCCTCTCTTCCTCACGTACAGGCTAAAGTGCACAGACGTGCTTAAAAACTTGCCTTAAACTTTCAAATGAGTATTTTTCAAAGTGAGGGAGTGAACTCATGAAACTCTTCATATGTTGGCATATACGTCTTTGTACTGGAATATCGGAGGATAATTAAAGAAATAAAACACAATCGTCAGTTCTAAACATCCATCCACAACACAAATATATAATAAGTGAAAATGCAATGGTCTTGGAAATGTATTGGTTTGTTTGGAATGCTCCACAGAATTAAACAGTGTGTAAAAAATATCTTATATACCTTCTAACTGTGACGCCTCATCACAGATCTGACCTGTAACCTGGCTGGTCATACTGAGGAATATTCCAGGCAAAGCAATAACATGCATGTATTAAATCCTCCTCAAGAAAAATTACACTGACTATTTTTTAAATTTCACTTTCGGCTTTGCACTAGTTAACGCCCAATCACTTCAAGTCATTTTCACAATAGCTAAAAGTGAACTTGAGTTTTTACAAGTGTCTTGCCCAATGACACTTCAGCAATGTCAATAAAAGAATCAGAGATCAAACCACTAGTCCTTCAGGCTATAGTTGACTCGAGAGTATGGCGTGTTATCTGACTGTGGAGGGGCCACTTAGCCCCGGCCCTGAGTGCTTGACCCGAGTGAGAGGACCTCCGTCTGTCTGCTCATGGGGGGTGTTCTGGAGAGAGACGTCCACTGAAAACAAAGGTTTAGTTGCTGCTTTAAGAGATCTTTACAAATATGACTCAAAACTTTTTTTTGTCTGTGAAATCACAATTGCATTTGAGCACTTCTTTCTAAAAGTTTTTTGTTGACTTTCTGGACTCTGCAGTTGTCTGTAATGTCAACAAAGCCATGTGTCAACAATGCACAGACTCTGCCTCTAAATCCACGATCAAAGATTTATTATGTAGCAGCTAACAAATGTAAGTCTGTATCACTGCTTTGATCTGTAAACTGGTTTATCTTATTGCAACACTTGAGAATAATATGTCATAATTCTTTACAAGAAAAGCAATATTTAAAATAGTCCACATATCTTATCTAAATACAAGATAAGTGAAATGCCATACAGAGAAACATTCCAGCCAAAGCAATAACAGCTCTATAACATGTCTAACGTCTCTACAGAGACAAGTGTAAGCTATAAAACAGACATGGTAAACAATATTCTGATGAACTGTAATAATTGCAGGGCTAACAAACCTCACAGTCTTTGATGTGCTGTTATTGAGGTGACCTTGTCCAATGCACTCCACTGAAACTCTCATCATTCTGGGCAGGTCTTTTACTGCTCAGTGTGCAATAAAACTGGGAATAAATATTTCCATTTGCCAAAAATAACCTAATAAAACAGAGAATCTATGGCAAATAGATTTTAACAAGCCTCATAAAAGTACAGGCCTGGGGTAGTGATCCAAGTTCCCTCGGGAGATTAGTCAAATTGAAATAGGAAATTAATGCATGCTCTGATGAGAAGATGTTTATAGTAAACGTCCATAAAATTGACATAAGTTAACAGTATTTGACAGTTTAATTACAATCAGAAAACGAGCAAAGTTCATGCAAAAACAGTCACAGTAAAAAAAAAGCACGTGCTGGATAAAACGGCGACTTGACCGGGGGAAAAAATGTGTGCGTAAAATGCGCAACCAGCATGCGTGCGTGGGAGCAACACAGTGTGGATGTACTGCGGAGTATAGCCACTGCATTGGTGCGATGGATGGACATTTAAAGCTTTTTACATCGACTTTAGCGGAGGTGAAGGTCGCAGAGCCGGAGAGTAAAAACTTGAAGTGCCACAGTGATGCTACAATATCGGAGGAATGCTCTTTTGTCGCTCGCAGGGGGTGGAGTTAGAAAGTGAACGAGAGCTGCCTACCAAACAGACAGAGGCGAGAGAGGAGGCAGGGTATAGGAGAGACGGTGTGGGCAGAGCTCCTCACCGTAGCGATGGTTGTCGGTCAGAGGGAGTCTTGAAGAGGCACTCAAAACTGGCTGCGTAAATTGTTTTGCAGAGCTCACGTTTGCGGCGTAGTTTGCATCTTTTTTTCTTCACTTGGAGGAGATACGCTGCTGCAGTACTTCGTGCAACATTTACCGGGACTTATTTTCTTGCAAAACTCCACAGTTGCTTGTTTTTTTTTAAATCGTCTATTAACAATTTCCACGAACACGGATAAAAACGGTGCATGCGAACTACCCGAACAGAGGACGCGCTTGGACCTGGTTACCCGCTTGGCGCACTGTTTGGCGGGCTCCGATGCAGCTTTTGCCGGTGAGAAGGACCTAAAAAGAAAAAGGGGGACTTATGAGGAGTTCTGTCTAGAGCGCAAGGATGTGGGGCTGCACATGGGGGTTCATAGTATTGTGGGGGAGGGGTTTTCCTATAGTAAATGTGTAACAGAATAGTTTTACAGCTTTGAAAATGTAACACGAGAGGTTTTATTTATGCAAGCTTTTCTTCCAATTCTTCCGTTTTGCTAGGGTGTCGCTGGGATGTTTGAAAGGCGTTGTTCGGTGGTGGGGTGAGTGAAGGGAACCCAGTGCTGAAGAAGACAAGCAAGACGAGAGTGGCCACCGGAGAGAGCTCGTGGAACGGAGGCCGAGAGAGTCCGTGCGCGGCGTGGAGGGGAGGAGGAGGAGGAGGAAGCGGCAGAGGAGCGGGGAGGATGGCGGTGGTTCTGCTTTCTCTCTGGGTGCTTACGAGTTTCACCTGGGCCAACCCGCTGCAGGTGTCAGGCAACAGACACTCGGTCTACTGGAACAGCTCCAACATACAGTAAGACCGCGGTTTACTCTCAACTTTGACTCTTTCTCAAAGGTGCACTGTGGAACTTTCCTGGAGGAGGGTCTGTCAACTGCTTGGCCCCACGGAGATCCTATTAGTTTACCAGGAATGTTCCAAAGTTTACGGTTTGGATTAGGCTTTAAACTTTATTTCTATGTAGAGCTGTGGAGAGGCAACCCGCTCACAGTATACATGTTTTATCAAGTTATGAAGTTTGCAGCAAAACACCTTCTGCAATGGTACATTCCTGGCTAAGCAATAACATCTCCATGGACGCAAAAAAGTGACTGACCTGCCACTAGAAAGTTACATAGATCGTCTTTAATTGCATGAGATTTGGCAAAACAAAGCTATTTTTCTGGGGCTGCGTTCAGTTTGTATGTATTTACCTGACTTGAAGCTACTGAGTGTCCAACTAGAGTGAAAATCTTTCAAATCCAACCTGGATCTTCCCCCTAAACTTGATCAGTCGCTCAGAAACATTTATCAGACTCTACTAATCCCTCTCCCACTAACAAGCGTCCTCTCTGCTTTCCTACCTTCACCTCTACAGCCTATGTAACCTTTATGCATATTGTCAAGTGAAGTACAACCCCACTAACGTCTTCCCTCTCTCTCCATCCGTCCTTTTCTCCCTCTCTCCGTCTCTCACTATAGTTTTCCCAAGCCTTAGCTGTCTTGGCCACTATCTGGTTCAATTAGGAGCACTTCTTCATGCTGACCCCATTGTGTTGTAGCAGTGTCACTATTCAATCTCTCCTCCTCCTTTCCTTCGCTGCCTCTCTCCTCTCTCTAGTGCCCTCCTATCCTCCGCTAACTCCTTTCTCTTGTTTACACTCAGTCCGTTGGCCTTTTGGTTATCCCTCTAATCCCTCGCTCCTCGCCCCATCGCGATTCAAGGGGAGATGATAGTCTTTCTTTTCTTTGCTGAAAGCTGTCTTTAATACTGTCCAAGATCCTAAGAGCGGTGGAGCTATGGGCTGCACTGGCACAGTAGACTTATGGGAGCATGTACAGAGATTGAATACAAGACTAACACTGATGTCTATCTGTCTGTGCACACTGGAGAGACTGGTGACTTTCTTATCAGGATTATTCAGGTCAAAATGTAAGTGGAAGAATTCATAATAAAAACTGGAAGGAAAGTTACAAGGAATCTTCAATCTAATTTCTAGTCCAGAAATGTAATTCTAGAGGTAAAATAATGGTTTATCTAGATGATTGTGTCCAAATAACTACTTTTTCAGTCCATAAATTTAGAATTTTGGTGTCCTAAAGTTTTTCCCGTCCAAAAGGGATGTAAAAGTAATGAAATTAAATTCAGAATTTATTAGTTTTTTTGCTGTGGTGTCAATAATTGTGATAAAAATGTTGAGACTTTTTCTACTTATCCTTCCAAGGCAGATCAAAATATTGCAAATGTGTAAACAGTTAGTGCTACAGTTGTGCGTTGTTGACAATAGAGAGATACATACATTGGTAGACAGATAATAATAAAAATTTGAAAGAATGTTACAAGCAATGTTATTTAAGTTTGTAGTCCATAAATGTAATTCTAGATGTAAAATGCTGGCTTATCTGGTTGTTTTTGATCAAAAACCAGTCCACAAGTTTAGAAGTTTGATGTCCTAAAGCTTGTCGAGTACAAGAGGGATGTTAATGTATGAAAGAAAATGTAGGATTTCATTGTTGTTTTGCAGTGGGGTCAATAATTGTGATAAAAATGTTAAGACTTTTTCTACTCATCCTTTCAAGGTAGATCAAAATATTGCAAATGTGTAAACTGTTAATGCTACAGTTGTGCGTAGTTGACGATAGACACATATGTAGATAGATAATAATAAAAATTGGGAAGAATGTTACAAGGAATCTTAAGTCATTTTAATTTAATTTGTAGTCCAGAAATGTAATTCTTGAGGTAAAATGCTGGCTTATCTAGATGTTTGTGCCCAAATAACAACTTTTTCAGTCTATAAGTTTAGAAGTTTGATGTCCCAAAGCTTGTTGCGTACAAGAGGGATGTAAAAGTTATGAAAGAAAATTCAGGATTTGATTGTTGTTTTGCTGTGGGGTCAATAATTGTGACAAAGACATGTTGTTTCTTCTACTAATATTTCATAACACAAAAATTTCATATCATAAGATCCCAAATTATAATGCAATACTCATACTAAGCCGAAACAGTTACTTTGTTGTTTACAGTAAAATATTTCTGTGTTCTTAGTCCTGGTTTAGTCCTGTTTTTCTGCTGTGTACCCTTCCTGCTCTAGCACAGATCACTCTTGGCGTTATATGTTTGTTTGTTTTTTCTGTATTTTTGTTCTATTTTTAGTATAGCGCTCTATCTTCTATTGCTATAATATATAATTTACTGTCCATTATTTCTCTACAATGGGGTTCCTGGTCTTTCTCCATCCTGAAGCTAACCATGTCTGCTTTTTGTCTGTTTTTATTTGCCCTGCTGTTTTTTCATTCCCGAACTTTGTGATTATTATTAATGGTTGTAACGATTTTAAACTGCAGCAAAGACATTACCTTTGTTTCCAAATATGAGGTTGACGCTGTTCCTGATTTTGCGGTTTACCATGCACAAACCCCCCACCCAAACAATCCCCAAAATAATAATAATAATGTGAAACAAGTGAATTTATTTACGCCTCTCAACTGAACAATCGCTCACAGTGGTACAACTACATCAACTACAGCGTAAAATAATGGACCCGTAAAATAGAAAGTTATTGGTTTTGCTTGGATATTGTAAACAATATTAGTTTTCCTGAAAGTGAGAAAATTGTTTCTACTCATTTTCGAGATGCTCATATTGCTTTCAGGAGATGCATCTCATACATTTTAGCTGATATCTTATACGTTTAATATAGCATCATCTCATGTAATGTTCCAGGGTTTTTGCTGCGTAATAATTTGATGCTAAATGCTAATGAAATTCTACCTTCGGTTTTCATATGTGAGACCAAAGTTGATTTTGATAAAATATGGAGAGAGGGCTCAGAGGCGTTAAGGAATAAAGCACGTACAAACTGCTCCACTGGCATGCCTAATCTATTCTGAAACGTATCTGTAACTGGTCTGACAGTACAGTGGGTAAAAATATGCTGTTATTTTCTGACACGGTGGAGATAGGAGCGCAGCGGTGTGAAGAGTTGTGACCCTTAACCCGACCTGCGCGCTGTGAGCTGGGTGATCTGCCTGCTCCCTGCCAGAAATGCTCCAGTATTCTTAGCTCTTTGTGTGTGTGCGTGTGTGTATAAATGTGTATGTGTGTGCGTGCGTGTGAGGAAAGACAGTGGTTAATTAAAGAACAGCGCATCTCAGAGGACCTGCCTTCTCCCTGATCCTCCCATCCTTCCTCTGCACTAGCCTCCTCCGAGCACAGTGACAGGCTAAGAGAAGCCAGGAGGGACAACTTTTTCATATTCATCCTTCCAAGGCACCTCAAAATATTGCAAATGTGTAAACTGTTAACGCTACAGTTGTGCGTCATTGAGATTAGAAAAAAGCAATAAATAGATAGATATAGAGGTAGATAGAAACTTTATTGATCTCAAAGGAAATTTAAGTATTCTAATGCGGTACTGGAACACGCTCATGCAAAAATAGTAATGGCTGTTTCATTTTAGATGTTCCGAATTTTTATATAGTAGAAAACAAATCTGAAAACTTAAGTTATGTTGCTTCGTACCCACTGGAAACTAACAATATACAGTATTATTGGGCCACTTTTGCAATATAAAGCCATAAAATACCATTGATAGTGATATTTGTTTGTATTTCAGACTAATTTGATCTCATTTGTCACCTCCTTCTCCCCTTTTTATTTTTTTATTGAAAATGCAATTGACTCAACATTCAGATTTTTAAATATTTGTATAAAATGGCAAAAGGAAAGAAATTCAATTTGTCAACTGTCAAGTGAAGAAGCAGTTTGGATGAGCTGCGAAACGTATTCAACCAAAATAAACTTTTGCCCAGCTGACAAATTGAATTTCTCCTTTTGCCATGGATTCTACCTGGACGACTGAGGGATTTTACACATTTATATAAAATGTTCCCCTAGTTGTATGTATGTTTGTAGTTTTATGTTTGTACTTTGTCAGCATTCTTCTTTTATTTCTCAGCCCTGGAGTCAAATGCATGCAAGGGACTTACTTTTCTTTTGTTTTAAAGCATCAACAAATATTCGACTTTTTAAATATAAGTTTTAGGCTGCCCAAAGAAAGTTTTTATATTTGACGTAAACATCTGATACATGACTGCTCCTGTACACCACTGCAGCAGCCTTCCAACTTCACACATCACATTTCCTCTATTTGTTTTAATCTTTTAGCACATCCTGCGTTGCTGCGTTGCCATGTGTGCGTGTTGCCTTTAGCGATGGGCCTCTCTGGAGTTGGTGTAAGTAGTAGTGCAGTGCGGAGGTTTGAGGGGCCAATATTACGCTGTAGTGTGTCTGTCAGGAGCTGTAGTAAACACAGTGTAAAGCCTGACCCCGGGCACTCATCAACCACCAGAGACGGACCGGGATTAGCTGCTCACAACTGCATTTATATTCAGGAATATTTGTGTACTAACTCCACACTTCCTCACTGCTATTTTTAACCCAGACGTGTGAATGTGTTATTAATAGAACTTCACAATAACTGCATTTTTTTTATGAATGCAATCTTTGTGAATGCAGTGTCTGTGATTGCAGTGTGTGTATCTAAATGTTACAATTTCACGATTAATATTTGCTAGTATTCCTGCTCAGTAAAGAAAACTAAAATATAGGGCTGAACGATTTTAAGAAAAAAATTGAATTGCAGATTTCCAAGATTTTTTATTTTTTTTTCAATTTTTTTTCAAGTTTAAGTGCACATGAACATTTGCAAACATCACAGAAACTTACATCATACCTGTGCCACGATTTGATGCTGGACCGTTTGTGCACATTGTTTACGTTTTACAGAAACAAAACTTAAAACCACATGGCT